AACTTGTCTAATATTTTTCACCTGGAATATAACAAACCAAGGTACAGATCTGTTCTTTGTATCGTACTTATAATAATTCCGAATAAATAACTGAGTAGATTCCTGAATTGTCAGCAAAAATTATGGTAACTACTGTAAACAACGATAATTAAAGTTTTAATCAAACAACAAAAAATTGTAACAAAATATAAATATAAACTACATGCACTTTGCGCTTTTTTCAATGTGCGCTTTTTTCCATGTGCGCTTTTTTCCATGTGCACTTTTATACCCGTAAGCTTTTTTCCGTGTGCGGTTTTTTCCGTGTGCGCATATTTCCTCGTGCGGTTATTTCCTGTGCGCTTATATGTCTGTGCGCTTTTTTCTGTGCGCATATTTCCTGTGCGCTTATTTCCTTATTTCCTGACCGTAGTAAAATTTTATATAAATAGTTTCTTGGTTTTTTCGGTAAAATAGAATTAATTTTTTTATAATTTAGGCACTACATATGTTTCGAAAAATACAATTTTTCCATCTTCTGGTGCAGTCAATTTATAAAAAGTATGGGGACGAATACAAACAGTTTAAAAATTTTTAAAATACTAGCACCCCATCCTTTTTATTTGACATCGTGTGAAGGTGTATTTGAAAAAATCTCGAATTGTGCCTTTCGTAAAAAATATTAATATTCAGTCTCAGCGCCCTTCAAACAAATATCATTAATTAGTCAATACGTTTTTCTAAAAGTCATCGCCCCTACGCTACTGACATTAGTCATGGTTAAAAACATACAACTGAATAAGCCCACGTGCCATTATCAACTGCTCTAAAAAAAAGTAAAAACCAATTGTGAACAGATTTGGATTGATTACAAACAACAATAATTCAAACAATTACTATACAGCCAAAAATCAAATTCCTCACATTTCCGACTTTCAAGTGTCATTACTAGAATGAGGTTGAACCACGGTGAGTTTCGTCTGTTCTTGTGACATTAATTCAGTAGATCTTAATCTTATGATATTTGCATGCAACACGCACAATCAATTTAGAAATAATTTAATAACCCAATTATTAGATATATTTTTTTTTCTCAACCAATATTACGTAGCTATTAAGCGCAAACAATAAGAAAGTATTTGATACAGTAATAGTGATACATTTATTAAAGAATTTAAAATTAATACACAGGTTGTATCAAAAAGATTTATAGTAAATTTAATCACAGTTTCTGGAGACGAAAATAAATAGATTACAACTAACTTGCACATATAAAAAATCTGATGTGTCCAACACATGACTTTCCTATCTAGTTATTATAGGCCTTTTCCGGTTATTTTGTACAACCTATTGCAGCACCTCTATAAATTTTCAGAGGATTTGTTTTCGTATTTTAAAACATAATTTTGGAAATTTAAAATGTATGTTCATCGTGGACAGTGAAAATCGACTACGTGGCCATAAATGGAAGCTGAAAAAAGAACAATTTTTTACGAAAACGAGGCAAAATTTTTTATTTAATCGAATATTCCACACTTGGAATTCTCTACCGGAGAATGTTGTAAATGCTCCATCTGTCAATGTTTTCAAGAACGAACTTGATAATTTTCTATTTTTTAATTAACATTTCATTTGTTTCATTGTTTATTCATCGGTTGTACCTGTTATTGATTTAGTTTTTAGTAATATTGCTTTATATTCAGTTAATATGGGCTTATGGGTCTTATGGCCCCTGCTCTTATCAAATTATAATAATAATAATAATAATAATAATAATAATAATAATAATAATAATAAACTAAATACATATATACATTTTCCACATACTTCTACCTCGAAACATTTTTCTATAGATATTCATTGAAAACGAAAATACTGAAAAATTTAAATTTAGCACTATTCCTACAATTTTTCCATTGCGGTCCATTTTAGAAATATTATGTATAAACAAAAAATTATTGAGATCGATATCGCAAACAACTTTTAGTTCAACAATTTTCATAAAAATCAGAATTTTGCACATTTTGTCAATTTTCTCGAATACGGACCATTTCAGGAAATTTTGACATATAACAAAAATTATAGATAATAATATTAGAAGTAACTTTTATTTGAACAATTTTCTTCTCCAAACATAAATAACAGATATATTCCATAAAATATAAAAATGGCCTTCCATAAAGTACCCAGATGTTCCGACTTTGTCCAAAATCTAATCATTTCACGTCAGGCCGAAATATTTAATGTTTTTTTCTTTATCCGTTTTTGAGTTTTCTTCAAAATTCAAAATTTACACATTTTTTCAAATTTCTCGAATACGGACCATTTTAGGAAAATTTTGTATAAAACAAAAATTATATATAATAATATTAGGAGTAATTTTTATTTAAAGAATTTTCTTCTCCAAATGTAAATAACAGATATATTCCATAAAATATAAAAATGACCTCCTATAAAGTACCCCCCAGATGTTCCGACTCTGTCCAAAATCTAATTAGTTCATTGGACGTTGGAACAAAGCTTAAGTTTAAAATTTGGTGTTTTTATGTGTATCGGTTCATGAGTTATGCGACACACACACACACACACCCACACGCGCACGCGCACGCGCACGCGCACGCACACGCACACGCACACGCACACGCACACACACATACACCGCGAAAATAGTCAAAACGGATTCAGGGGAACCCAAAACGTAAAAATCCGTCGAAAATTCGAGGTCGAAAAAAATCATGATTCCTATACTTTCCTTATATCTGTATACAGATAGGAAAGTAAAAATGGGTATTAAAAAACTTAAAATATAAATTTTAGAAGCGATTTTTTGTTCTTATTCTAAAATATTTTTATGAAAATATATATTGGGTGTAAGTATACGATGACTAATAAAATGGAGTGAAGTTTAAAATTGTTTTAAATCTATAGGTTTTTAGAATGGTTTCAAATCCATTTGATCCCATGCTCTTATAGACAATGAAATTCAGTTTAAACCACTGAAATTATGCATCTGCTTCGAAATTTTTCTGTCTCCTAGTATTTGTTTGTAAAAGCTTTAATTACTGAAATATAGGCCTCTGAAGAAAGTTCATAATAATGAAATTTTCTTATCAATCTACTAAATTTGTTTACGATTTTCTTAATAATTTACAACTATATAGATGATCGATAATCGAATAATTGAATAATTATTATTGTAAATAAATGTATAAAATATTAAAAAAAAAATCTTAAATAAATAGTGGTTTAAGGTCAATAGAAAAATTTCATTATTAATATTTTATTACTATGACCTTCCTTTAGGGGCCTATAACTCAGTAATTAAGGCTTTCACTAACCAATACTAAGTGACAAACAAATTCATAGCATATGTAAGATTTCAGTGGCGCTCTCTTTTTACCTAAAAAGTAGAGGGGTCAAATAGGTGCAGAACCCTTCTAAAAACCTATAGAATTAAAACAATTTTAAACGCCACTCACTTCATTTTATTGGTCAATGGAAACTAACATCTTATGTACATTTTCATAAAAATATGTTAAGCCGTTTTAAAAATAGGGAATATTTGTCACTAATCAGAATGTTTTTTGTTTATTATTTAAATCATTGTTTATTGTCTTATATCAGAACGTTCTGCCTTTAGAAAAGATTCATTTTTATTTTAGATTTAAACATTTGTATGTATTTTTCACTTGGAATTTCTATTAGGCAACATATTAAAAAATATTTTATTGGATTATTATTATTATATTAGTACATACTATTCTTATTTCACCTGCTTTAAGTGAATAAAATATCCGCAAAGATATCAGAATAAAATGAATATCTCATCATAAAATAAAATAATGTAATATTTATTTCAAGAAGGTGATAGGTGTGTAAGTTTCTTGTGAATAGTTTATTCAACTTTTACGGTGGTAAATGTCTGTTCAATAATTAGAAAATTTTTTTTTAAGTAATTAGGGATCTTTTATATTGCATTGAAAACAGTATTCATCATTTAAAAGAAAGAGGTTATAGCGATATTTTTACGACATGAATGTAGTGTCTTATTTTGGTAATCTTTTCATATACTCACGATCCACCTAACCATGAGCCCTCTTTCAAATATGGGAATGCCGTACTTAAAAATTGGTTCTGGCTACGCCCTTGATAATAATAATAATAATACTCTCCCTAATTCACCCCCTTACGAGTGATTTTTAACCCCAAAATCTGAGCTTGTGCGGGGAAAGGGACGGCTATTATTATTATTATTTGCCATGGCGCTCTGGGGCGACTTAAAGATGATTGATGGTGCCATTTGACTTATAGGTGAGGAAAACCCGGAAAACCTCCCCCACCATTATCGAGACGGTAATGCATGGCCATTTTATAATATGCATGTCATATCAACAGAAATTGAATTTCTATTAATACGGCACACATCAAATCCTAGACCGAACCATGCAATTTAATTAAAAATCCACATGGTCTGGTCTGGGATTCGATCTCACATATGTGTTATAGTTAGTTATACCAAAGTATTTGCTGGTCTCTGTTTCCTCAATTCTAGTAGTCTGCTCTTTGATGAGTGGTCCTAAATTCCGAATAATATTTATCTGTTGTTATAAAATTATCGTCGTAATTTTCAGTATTTTCGGTGACAGAGACCATTAAAATATTGTCTACAGTTAAAGGCAAACTAGGGCAACCTTAGTTATTATTAACTTTTATTTAATATTTAACTTTCATTTTACATTTTTCATCATAATATAAGGTAAAAACAAGGTAAGCAGCTCGAAACAGTCAGTTACATACTTGTGCGCACATGGGGCTATTCAGCCGCATGTTTTTAACTATTACTACTGATACTGTTCTAACTTATCGCACCTGAAGAGTGATATTTTGAAGGATGCATAAAACTAAGACACACCAGTATTATTCTGATGTTTAACAATTAATAGCCTATTTTGTTTTTCAATTCAGTCTATAACAATCTACTTTATTGGACTATTATTGAGAGGTAATTTAGGTGTACATACCCTTAATATACCAAATATTCTGGAAGTTGTGTCATTTATTAAAAACATGATGATATCAACCACAGAAATTATCACAAGAGAACCGTCCATAATATTCCAACCAGACGTAAAATAAGCATTTGGGCCATAACACATACCACTGGCAACAACCTAAAATTAAAAAAAAAAAAATTAGAAACAATTTAAACTCAAATAAAGATCCGATTTAAATATAATTTACTAGTTATACTCACTTTAACAAACATTTCTGTAGCGAACACAACGGAAAATATATAATTGCACGATTGTAAAAATAGTTTTTCGGGACTTTCTGGTGGAATATTAGGCCTTTCCATAGCTAGAGTAATACAGTTAAGAGCTATAAAAATTAAAATGAGATTGTCGAATCCATTTTGCTTCACTATCCATGAGCAGTATTTTCTAAACCTAAAATATTAGTTTAAAACGTATTTATATTCTAAGTTTGATAGAAGTTTAAATTTGTGATTTTGAAAAATTTTAATATAATTTTTAATTATTGAAATTATTCAGATATATTTTAAGTTTTAGATTGTAAGTTACCATTAGGTTTATTTTAAGTAGCTAAAAAGTTGAGCTCATTAGGTTTTTTATTAGTTTTTTTATAAGATTACAATGAGACAAATTTAAAGATATTAATAAATATTTAACAAACTTGCAATGAAATGTACCTGTATATTATTTGTAAGCTTATAAAAAAATGTTCAACAACTGCTTATTATGGCTATTACTTACTTATTTTTAGGTGAAAACACATATAAAGAATAATCTTCTCTATTTCTTAAACAATAGGTCGATTCCAAAAATTTTTCTAATTTACCAAATATGCTAATTTTAATACATTTTTCCACTGGTATTTGATTGATTCCGCTCTCGCTGGATTTGTTTATTAATTGCAGTTTAGTAGGACTGGTATTTAAGCTCAAATTTTGATTTTTGATGTGAAGTGCTTCATTATGTTTAACAGGAGATCTTCTTGAGGAGCTTTGTCTTTTGCGGTGTTTGGCCTAAAAAATGTAATGTTGCATTGATTTAAACCTCAAGATCAAATTTTTCAATTAACAATCATATTATGTATATTTAATAAAGTATCTGTTTAGTAAACGTAAATCCATGGATCAAACCCTTATCAACTAAGTGAGTAGGTAGGTTAGTTTAACTCTTAGGCACCTAAGGAACTAGTGTTAAAATTAACAGAAAGCGAACTGCTAGACCAATATATCTTTATGGTTCTTTTCACATTGACTTGGTTCATGTATAAAAAAATAATAATAATACATTGATTTTTTTTATTTTGCTACTTTTCACTATTTTGGTATTACAAAGCTTCTTTATATTGGACCGCTGTCTAGAGACGGTTCTTAAATAATTTTGTCTGAAATAAAGGGTTAAGGAGATATATCGCTTGATAGGTAGTTATTAATTTTGTAACATTTTAAAAATCACTTTTAAAAATGTTTTTTTTAATGAGAGACATACTGTATAATAAACATTACAATTTCCTCAATCTGAAATGGTTTTCAAAATGTTATTCATTAAATTTAAAGTAGTTCATAACCAAACAGAAATAAATTCACAAAGTCTACTCTGGAAGTGTGTGTTAACCAAATAAAAGCTAACTGTCAACATTGCATTGGGTGCCTTATTAGATATAAAAGTTGCGTTCAATTAGGCCTTTCCTCAGCCTATCTTCTCTTCCATTTTTGAAAGACGAGGAATCGACCAACTGAAGTGTAACTGGATCAAAGGTATGCTTGGAAATCGAAACTTCTTTTAACAACTACAGGAAAAGAAAGAAAGTTACTTTCACAACTACCACAAGGTGTTACAAGGCGAAGTACTATCACCTCTACTGTGAATAATTCTAGTTCAAACCTTCTAAACGATTTCTCTTGACAGAAATTGCCTTCAATGTTATGTGAACGATCTGGTTATCAAAATTAGGTGCAAGTACGAGGAGGTAATATTAATTAAAAATCGTAAATACGATAAAAAGATAGTGCGATAGGGATTAGATGTCTATTACAAAATTACCTGGAACTCCCAACTGGACAAAACCATCAACAAACTCAGACTATCTCTCTGAACTCTCAGAAGAATATGCGGTAAAGCATGGGGGATCAGCCACAAATTGATTTACTGAATTTACCAAACCAATGGTTACGCAGGGCTCGATTGTCAGGTAGGACAGAGCTAAGTTGTTTTAAATTCAGCAGCTTTAATAAACCTGGGAATGTTTGCCAAGATTTCCAACAACAACAAAATTGGAGGCGAAAATTTGATCAATCTTCTTTTTTCTAACGCAATATTTTCAGACAACCAGACAGCCCATAAAACTCTGAGCTCAAATCAAGTTTATTCAAAGCTGGTTTTGAACTATATTAATACACTCAAGTACCTCGATATTTCGAACAAAGTTACTTTGATATGAGTTCCGGGACAAAACCGACGCGCTTGCTAAAAAAATTATAGGTCCAAAACCGTCTGTGGCATTACAAAGAGCAGTAGCAAAAAATTATCTTAAACTGGAGAATTTGTGTACTAAAATGACACCATAGAGCTAATTTATTCGAAGGCGTTAACAGCCTACCCTTTCATGAAAGCTTCTGTTTAGTGCTTAGAGACGTGAATAATGTAGAAGCGATCTACGTATTCTTACGGGACTAATGATAGGAACCTGTCGTATAGGGAACCACAGAGACTTATTCGTCCCTCTTCTTGTCCCTAACGTCAAGTACATAACCGTACCAGTAGGCTGGTTAAAATCATGTCAAACATTAAAAACCAACGAAGCAAGAAAAGAGAGATACTATCCTGTAGCCCACTTGATTCTCTTATATGAGGCCCCAATATGGGCGTAAGCACTGAAAACCACCAAATATAAAGACATGATAAAATGGGTACGAAGGAAAGGGACCATCGAATAGTAAGTTTCTACCGCAGTTATCGTTGTAGGAGTTAAGGTTAATCACATGAACCACCTTCTCATGGCTAAGAGGGTAAAATTACAAAAATTCGAAGAAAGAGAAAAATAACAGTAAAAAGCTGTTTAAATTTGGCAAAGTGCAGACAGGCAGATTAACTACTCATTCACTTAAATCCTGATCGAATACGGCTCCTTTCGAACAAACACCCAAAGGATGGGCAAGACGGATGACGACAACTGTATTTACTGGAGTGGCGTATGATGCTAAACACACGCTTTTTGAATATGCAAGTTGAGAAAGGAAAAAAGGAAAAAAAAGTCTTTTTGTATGTAAATGAAGACATCACCTCTAAAACTTTTGAGCACTAATGACCACAGACAAAAACAAATGGAAAATTATACACCGCCTAAATAAAATATTATGGCACAAAAATAATAAAAAAAAGGAGGAAGATTGTGGACCGACACATAAGGATACGAATGTCAGACCTTATCTAGGAGTACAAAAGGTGTTTTTATTTGGTAGACTATAGTAGAGGCGATGGTACTGGGATCCCTCTACTGGGGCGATGCTTAGTGTCACCATGTCCACTCGTCTAGAATTTAAATTTTTGGCTCAGGATTAAGCTTCAAAAGTTGACTAATACTTTAGTTTAATTTCAACTTTTAAAATTTAATTTTGATCCAAAAATAATAAAAAATAGCCATGAACAGACAAGTAAGAATTTACCATCACTCCAAAAAAAGGGGAGAAAAAATTCGTTTGCTAACTTTTATGACTTTTATGAACAAAAATGGAATGAAAAAACACTAAAGAAGACCGTCCCGATTGGAACCAAAAGTTCTGACAATATACACATACATACATAAAAAGAAAATTTGAAGTTTAATAACCAAACCCTATCCGGAAAAAGGTACCCTAAGAATTTAAAAAGGAAAAGTTTAAAATATCAAATTAGCTCATACAAATTTCACATTTTACCAAACCTTATTCCGAAGAAAGTACTCTAAGAATTTAAGAAAGGAATGGATTCAAATATTAAATTAGCTAATACAAATTTCACATCCAAGAAAAATATAAAATATTACAAGAGACGGAGATCCGCTACTGTAGTTATATCTGTAAGGCAGGAAGGGTGGATTGCTCCATATTACTTAGGCTTTTTAAGAGCCATTGTGCATCCTCTAGAGGCATTATAGAACCTTCCTTTTAACTTGTCAAAACCTAGTATGTGTGACGTAGGTAAGAAGGAATGTATGTAGTATATTTAAGTCACTAAACCTACTATCAATTAGCTTAAATTGCCAATGTTTCTCAAGCTGTTAAACTTTCGCAATTCTTGACCATTGAATTTACTCTATTTTACTTATTTTTTTGGCACCCTATATAGATGTAATAACTATTTTTACTTACATGCCTGCTAACCCCTCCACCACCATTGCAATGTAAATGATCTCTCCCGTTGTTTAAACGAACCGTTTCGATTTCGACTCCACATCTTTTAGGCCTTTTTAAACTTGATTTTGTGTTTGTTTTCAACGAGGGTTGTCTCTGCATTTTGTTTCTTTGTTTCGAATCGTTTGGATTTATAACTGGAGTATTTTTCTCGGAATACGTCATTGTGTTCGCACCAATTTTTTCATTGTATGTTATTATTTTACACATTTTGTTCGAATCATCGGAAGATCCGCGCTGTTTTGTTGAATGTCGATAAGTTAGTGGTGGAGGAGACAGTCTTGGAGGGATGAGCAAGTTTGAGTTCTGAAAAATATAAAAGTTAAAAAACGTTTCTTTGAAAATACCATTTACATAATGTTTTGAAAACACAAAGTGACGGTTTTTGATGTGCGACCGCATCGGGATCTTAAATAGAAGTTAATTTCTTTAAAAAATAGTAAAAATAAAATATGCTAGATTCATCACTGATACAAACGTTTCTGACATTATAATTTGTCATATTAATTATTAATATTATTAATATCGGCTTTAAAATCCTTTATTTTAATTAGATACGAGTATTTGTTAACAGTATTTATTTTTTCATTCTATTGGATGAATTCTAATAAAATTATAATACATTTAAAATCCAAATTGTTACTTACTGGTAAATTTTGTGGTACTAACTCGGAAGAAAATTGGTGACCAGAATCATCAACATTTAATGCAGTATTCGACACCGATGTAACTTTATAACGAAATTCCGGGTAATCTCTTAAAATAGTACTTGGAGAGTCCTGAGGAGTTGCTGCTGTATGAGTAATAATTGGTGGAGATGCCTATAAAAAATTATTTTAACATTTAATGGCAACGAAGATAGAACCAATATAATTTGTGAGACAGTGGATGTCAATTTTTTTACCTGCTTCACCGGAGGTTTCGTTAATGCTTCTTTTTCGATATTTGATTTCGTATCCTTACAAACGTAGCAACAATTTGTGTATTTATCTTTAAAATCATTAACGGAGAGTGCAATTGACGAGATATGTTCATTTAATCCTCTGTTGAGTTTTCTAATATCTGAAGACTTCCAACATGTTTTGTTGTCCTTAAAAGAAGATACGTTATGACTACAAGTAAACAGGTTAATTAATAGTGTACGTTTTAACTTTTCAGTAACCAGTTAAATAATATCAGTAAAGCGAACAAATATAAACTTATAGTCTCTCATTAGACTGCAAAAAGTGGCATTTCGTGTTTTTTGCTTGCTATTTGTAGTAAGTTACAGGGTAAGGGGCGAACTACATATACTATGTGATGGGTGCTGTCGTCTAACCTGTCAAAATCTCTTTGCAAGCATTTCCTGTGGTTTTCGGTTTTGCTACTATCGATGTAGGGAAATTTTTAAACTTACACAAAAGTCGCAAAACCAGACGACAAAAAATGCTTGCAAAGTGATTTTTTTTATTGTTATAGATGTATAGAAGTAAATTATTTTATTGACTGCAAAAAACGAAAAACTCACTCGATCTGAAACATTATTTTGAATTTGACAGGTTGACAACTTCCACCACCGGGACATAGTACATGTTGTTTGTTGGAATATTAATCTTTAAGTCTTATCTATTTGCTAGTTGTTTAATAAGGTTTGTCCCAACACAATAGCAAATTGGTTTACGTACTGTCGGGATTCTGCGCAGTCTAGATTTGGTGTTCCAACAAACCTCGGACTTAAAACTGTACAAAAATCTAGTGTTACAACCTTAGATAAAAGAGACCAGAGATATAACATACACCGGTTTTAAACCTGCGCAAATGTTGTCAATTTCTAAAGAAGGGTTAACGGAGTGGGAGAACTGGGCGGCGACACGCGGCGACCCGAACTCTGTGACAGGGACCGGACTTTGTTTATTAGCATCCTAATGAACTATTAGGTTTATTTAAAAGGTGTTTAATCGAATTTTGTATTATGAAATAAAATTAACGTGATTTTTTAATATCAAACAGATGCCACGACATTTTATGTAAAGAGAAGACCTTTTATAGAATATTTCGTTGGCGTTTATTTACTACGGACTTTTCTGCAAGAGATTACAGTAAAATGTTGAAATAGAATATATTGTTAATAGAGCAAAAAATGTTACTTATTGTCTACGAGTATTATAAAAATAGCATGTGCGCAGGCTAATACTGCAAATCTACCCTTATGAGTTGAACATTATATTTTTTCTACGGCTATTACATATTATTAAAAATTAGTCAAAATGAGAAAATGCTGTTTTGTATTGTAACCTCAAAAAAAAGTATATTAAGGCTTCTTTCTTTAAGAATATTAATTATTATGAAGGATGAGTCACATAAAACTCTAGAAATGCATATGTCTGAAACCAGATAACATTTTAAAATTTAAATCTATTAAAAGTCATTTGGTCGCTAGGGATGAGTGATTATCGAAATAAATTATCGATCATTGAAAATAATCGATTATTTTCGATCAACCGATTATTTTCAAACAATATATTTTTGTCATTTCCTTTAAAATCGACTACTTGATTATCTTTGAAAAATCAAAAATAATCGATTAATTAAAAAGCCAATTAACCGATAAATCAGTGTTTACAAAATATAATATAAATAGAATTATCGTTTATTTTAAATAATCGATTATTTTCAAATAAACCATTTTTTTTCGTCCATGGAAACAGATTATTCGATAATCTTTGAAAAATCGAAAATAATCGATTAATCAAAAATAATCGATTAATTAAAAAGTCGATTAACTGATAAATCGATTTAAAAAAAACAGAATGATCGATTATTTTAAATAATTGATTATTTTCGATCAATCGATTATTATCAATAATCTATTTTTATTGTATTTCCTTTAAAATGGTTAATTCGATTATCTTTGAAATACCGAAAATAATCGATAATTTCAAAATAATCGCCTAATCGAAAATAATCAATTAATTAAGAAGCCGATTCTATAATAAATCGATTATTACCAATAATCTATTTTATTGTATTTCAAAAATAATCGATTAATTAAAAAGTCGATTAACTGTCAAATCGATTTTCAAAAAAACAGAATGATCTATTATTTTAAATAATCGATTATTTTCGATCAATCGATTATTATCAATAATCTATTTTTATTGTATTTCCTTTAAAATCGATAATTCGATTATCTTTGAAATACCAAAAATAATCAATAATTCCAAAATAATCGCCTAATCGAAAATAACCAATTAATTTAGAAGCCGATTTTATGATAAATCGATTTTCCAAAAAATAAAACGAATATCTATTATTTTCTAATAATCCTTTTTTCATATTTCCTTTGAAATTGATTATTCGATTATCGAAAATAATTGATTATTAAAAAGCTGATTATCCAATAAATCGATAATTTTAAAAAAATGACAAAAATATCGATTATGTAAAATAACCGATTATATTCAATCGATTATTTTCATATAATATCTTTGAAAAATCGAAAATAATTAAATAATTAAAAAACCGATTAAACGATAAATCGATTATTATGAATAAATCTACTTTTTTGTATTTCCTTTAAAATCGATTAATACATTATCTTAAAAAAAAACGAAAATAATTTATTAAAAACAGCGGATAAATCGATTTTCATTAAAAAATATCAGAATTATCGATAAATCGATTATTTTTGTAACTCCTATCGGTGGCTTGCTTTTATCTGAGCATTTATCTCCAAAATTTAGAGATTCGGATTTTTTGATCCAGTTATCTTTGAAATCGCATTCGATTGTATAATAAATAAATATTGCTAAATTTTGGATTTTTTTTAGTAAACGAAAATTATGTTCGAGTTGTTTAGGGGTTTGTAATGTAACATTTTATTAACGTGACTAAGGGTCGATTCCACCGTTGTGTTAAACGAAGTTTAAAATGACAATTTTACATTAACACTGTCATTTTAATCTCCGTTTAACACAACGGTGGAATCGGACCTAACTCCTGTAAATTTAGTATTTTTTTTTTTTTATACTAGATTACTTTGTTTTAAGACTGAAAATTCAATGTCACTTTCGATTTGACCGCAAATAAGATGAACCTTAAAATTTTAAGTAGGTCATCCTGTATTTTATCTAATATTCTTATAAAAATACCTTATAAAAATAAAATTTAGCTAGCAACTATGATTCTTTACCTCTTATTTATCTACCAAAAAGGGTGACGGGCTGAAGCCTCCCTTTATAAAATGCTGGTTCGCAAGGAAATCTTAATTTTTTTTACCAAAAAATTACAATAGACAGTTTTTTGAAATATATTCAGTGACAAGATACTTTGACAATAACATCCTTAATTTTACATACATAGTCAGTGTCGGTATCTGAATATTAAGACTAGCATACAGAGCCGGTTTCAACAATCAATCCAAACATACCGCCACCCTTGAATGATCTATAATTCAACAAACAAAATAATAGATATCTAATACAAAATATAAACATCTTATCAAGTAATCCTAATAACTAAATAGCATCAACTTCTACTGGTAATAACGATAATTGCGTTAATGCTCTTCGGAATAGTCCATTAGAAGTCTTGACTGTTACTACTCTTATGACACCATCAGTTCCTGGATGAAGACTTACTATTCTGCCCATCTGCCACTTCAATGGTGGTAAATCTTCATTTTTCAATATCACCAATTGGCCTAGTTTTACATCTTTTTTTAAAGTTTTCCATTTAGTACGTTGTTGTAAACTAGTTAAATATTCTTGAGACCATCGTCTCCAGAAACTTTGTACCATTTAAGTGATCAACTGATAACGAACTAGTTTAGTCGTTTTAACATCACTTAAATCGATCTGAGGAGGGGCTGACAACGGCTCCCCAATTAGAAAATGTCCAGGAGTCAATATATTCAAATCATCTGGATCTTCTGTCATAGGTACAAGAGGTCTAGAATTCATACATGCCTCAATTTGTGTTATTAGTGTCAGAAGCTCCTCAAAAGTTAGCCGCTGGTTACTTGTTACTCTCTTAATATGGTATTTGGCAATTCTTACGGCAGATTCCCACAGGCCTCCAAAGTGGGGTGACCTTGGTGGAATAAAATGCCAACTAATAGCTACTTGAGCAAAATACCGATCAAATTCATTTTTAGTTTTCTTTTCCCTTATAAATTTAACAAGATCTCGTAATTCATTACGTGCCCCTATAAAATTTGTAGCGTTATCCGAAAATATGTTACTCGGAAGCCCTCGTCTTGCTACAAATCTTTTAAAACAATTTAGGAATGCAGTAGTTGTTAAATCGGTTACGAGTTCTAAATGTACCGCATGCGTAGCAAAACAAACAAAAATACAAAGATAAGTTTTTGTTGTAGTGCATCCCCTAACCTTTTTCACTATCGTATCAAACGGTCCGGCATAATCTAAACCGCAATTATTAAATGGACGAGATGGCGTTAAGCGCTCTTTAGGTAAATCACCCATTAATTAATTTAGTTCTTGTGGACGAGCTCTAGAGCAAGTCACACATTTCCTAATAATTCCCCTGATAGTAGTTCTTCCCGACATGATCCAGTATTTCCTACGTAAATAAAGAAGTAAAGCTTGCGTCCCGGCATGCAAGAGTCTTTTATGCTCATAATTGATTAATAATTTTGTCAATTTACTTTTGTTAGATAGTATTGCAGGATGCTTCTGCTCGAATGCCAAATTTGATTTATCTAACCTTCCACCAACTCTCAAAATACCGTCTTTATCTAGAAATGGATTGAAAGGTAACAATTTACTAGATTTGGGAATACTTTTTGAACCTTGTAACAGCCTTATTTCAGTTTCATAATCCTCCCATTGTGAAATTTTTACTAAATTATTCATAGCTTTTCCCAATTCTGCAATTGTCAAATTATTTGTTTGTCTTAAATCCCTTGCCGTTCGACAATTATTAATAAAACGCAAGCAATAACCTAAAACCCTTTGTAATTTATAAAGATCAGATATTCTATCTAGAATTTCAAAATTCACCGTTTCTGAGAGAAATATTTTTCTAACTTTTCTCCTCTCCGGTATTTCTCTATTTTCCAGATTTTTATGTGCCGGCCAATCCCTTTCA